CGAGTCGTTCAGTTGGGAATTACTACCGCATGCGGCTTATTCTCCAGACTTGGCTCCGTCCGATTATCACCTGTTCGCATCGCTAGGACACGCTCTCGCTAACCAACGCTTCGATTCGTATGAAAATGTGGAAAAATGGCTAGATAACTGGTTCGCTTCAAAAGATGAAAAGTTTTTTTGGCACGGCATTCATAAACTGCCAGAGAGGTGGGAAAAATGTGTTCAAAACAGTGGAAATTATTTTGAATAAAGTATTATTTATCACTTTCGAACAACAGACGTCTTATTTGTGTAAAAAAATTCCGGTTTCATACTTCTACACCTGGTATATATATGTATATATATATATATATATGTATATATATATATATATATATGTACATATATATCAAGTATGTCGTACGAGTAATCTTTAAATGGATCTTGAAATTGGATAGCGCTATCAGTGACGGTAGCCAATTGGAGATTTTAAACTTTAATGAGACACAGAAGAACAAAGACCCGCGCATAGAAATTTCTCAAGAATTTTTCATATACAGCATAAATTCCGATCAGAATACGCAAACTTATCCCAGAACTGGTTATCCTACTATGGCACCAATTGAGAATTCCATTATTATTCCAGACATTTTCTGTTTAGAATTAAGATAAAAATAATATAGGAACCTGCACTTTTGTTTAATGTATAAAATCGATGTATTTTTATGGAATTAAATGGGAAATTCCACTAATTTTCGAAATTTCTCTATTTCTAAATCTTTTTTGAAAGTCTTGCATTTTTAAGTTCATTTTTACTAACTGAATTCGATAGGACAGAAATTAAAAGATATTTCAAACATTTGGAGGATTAACATTTCTTAACGAGTTTCAGCACTTTTTATATATTTATACATAAACACTGTAAATATTTAAGAGTGTTTCACATTTTTGTCTCAATTGTAACGTAAAATGAAAATTACAAGAAATCTTTGACAAAACGTTGAAGAGAACGAATGGGTCTCCAATTTGGGGATTTGTGTATTTAAAAAACATTACTCTTCTAACTTGAATCTGCGTAGAATTCCCAATCAAAGTCCAATTTTTTTATGAAATCACATCGAATTCCAATCAAGTCAATGGAAATATTCCTGTTTATGAGACGCGCACAATTTTTCTAATAATAACTGCACTGCACGTGAATGCGTATATTGTATATGCATGAATGGAACATAGAAACAGAGAGAATGCACGAAGAACTCGACATTCATACGTTCAGCCGTCCGGTCATCGGCGGAAAGAGCACACGGCTGGTCGCTCGGGAGACGGACAATAAAATCGCGCGTCGTTCCCGGCGCGTCGTCGCTCGCGACAGAATAATCTAAACTTCTGCAAGGCAACGAATATCATTCGGCTTTAATTACGGCCGTGGGTCGGGCGAGACGCGTCGCGTCAGAGACGAGCGTGACATCCGTGCGCGCGCGTCGTGCTGCACGATCCGCGGTTGCGGATACGAAACAAAACCCCAGTTGTGACGGTAATTACGCGGGAGACTTCCGTGCGCCGTTTAAATTAAGCCATCCACCGGCGGATGCATCGGCCGCGAGAGCTCGGCAGGATTTATCGTCGTTTCGGCGTTCGATTAATTCGCACACCAACACGCCGGACGCGTCTCCTCCGCCCACCTCCTCCTCCTCGTCCCGCAAATCTGAATAAAGCAGTTTGTTGCGCCGGGATAAAAGGCGGGATAAAAGCCGCGGCGCGAAGAACGAATTAACTGCGACGTCGCGAAAGGAGCGCGCGCGTTTGATGTCGTTTCGCGCGATGAAGTCGTTATTTGCAGTTTGCCGCCGGATACTTCAAACCGAGGACAAAGCCAAAAGCTCGATGAGAACGCTCGTTGTTCTCGTGAAAAACGCTCGCGCGCACGGAGGCTTTCAACGTTAATCAGATACGCGATGCATTCGGCGGATATATCGAATTTATCGATGCAGAGCTCGAAACTTTCGCGCGCGCAATTCTCGACAAAATGAACAAAGGAGAAATTATTCATTTCGGATTAAAACACGGCTGGAATGGACCGTTCCGGTACAATTTCATCGGCCTCGCGTCGCTGACGTAAGGTTTCGATATGTAAATAATCGCCGCTTGAAGCGGCGTTTCTACATGTATAGAATCTTTTATGATTCGTGCTTCCCTCTCCCTCACTTCGCCGGATACTGAACGCTCAATTAGGCTAATCTCGATTCCGTCGCGATCGCGAAGGCTCGCCACCGTGCGCGCGATGTGCAGCGGGACGTTCCAGAAACGAACTAAAAATTCAGCGATGTCGTCGAGAGAGAAAGAGAAAATGGGGGAAGAGAAAGAAAGAGATAGGCAGAAAGAGAGAGAGAGGGGCAATTTAACTTTGCACGAGTAAAAGCGACGAGCGGTTCACCCCTCAATGGCGGTTGAGAAGGATACGACATGTCCTTTGATGAGGACATCTATGCAGACCGGCGGCGCAAAAAGAGTCCTGCTCGTCGGTATTCCGCCTGTCGATGCTGCTAACGGAATACATTAATTTTTAACGAGTCGCGCCGGAAGCCAGGGATTACGTCCTCTCGCTTTTACACGTTACGAATAAGTCGGGGCGTGAATCGTGAATTTTCAGCACGCGACGCGAATTTCGGTCGCGAAGGAGAGCTGCGGGCATCGCGTTTCGTTGGGCACGAAAAATCTGTACAAACGATTCAATTTGAATAATGTAGCGCGCCGCACCGCGCCACGCAGTGCACGTGGGAGACATGTGTGTGGCGAGAATCGTGAATGATGTGAATAATCGCGAATACTAATACGATCAATAAAGTCGGTTTATACTATATAAACCGACTTTTCTGCTTAACTCTCTGAGCGTCCAGGAACGCGAGAGAGCTTTTCAAGATCCTCCTAGCAAGAATGTGTATGTAGTAGTTAAATTCCGTGGATGAATGGATATTTGGAAATAGAGCTGCCAACGGATATGCATTTAACTATGAAACCGATGTAAACAGACAATAGTAAAAGTTTTAGTTGCAGCTACGAGTTTCTAGTTACACAGCTACAAATACATTTTCAGCAAATCGCCGCGGCAGTGGAATCTTTACTTTTTCGTGCGTTTCGTGTCCTTCTCTCTCTTTCTGAAACTTTTCATTATTACCAAACTTCATCTCACATTTTTAGCGTTAGAAGGCAAGGCGACACTCAAAGGATTAATATTTAATGCGCCACAACGTTCCACGCACCGCAAACCCGTTTTAATCGAAGCCTTTAAATATGCCAATGCTCGTGAATATGTAAAATCACCAAATCGGCAATGGCGATGAACGCAACAGCCAATCTGCTTTTACGAAGCTGACTATCGCTTTGAAAAATATGCTTTGAGTTCGAATGCGTTCGCAAAGATTGAATATCCATGGAACATCAGTAAACGCTGGGAATGTATCCGCGTATCTTCAAAATATCGGGTTTAAATAAATTGGATTAGTGTTGATATTAATCTCGTTTCCACTGTCATTAAAGAGCGACGCTATACGATTGAGCGAAGCGCAGCGCAACGCGAAGCGTACGCGGTGACTGAAAGCCATTTTCAAATCTCTCCCTATTTTGTTATTCCTGTATTTGCGCGTATGCAAAATAACGGCGCGCTGAAAATAATCGTATGCGTTGGAGAGCCGGAGATTAGATTTATTTTTACGTCGCGCGCGCGCATGTATGTAGGAAAAAAAGGTAGGAGAGGAAAAATACGGCAACTCGATTAGCAATCCGAATTAGGATTGAATAACGCGCGTGTTTACACGCGTGCGGGCAAAACTCGATTGTTTTCGCAAAAGAGTAATGTCACGAGCCCGAATAAAAATCAAACCGAGACCTGACGGAAATAATTTGCGCGCGTGGGCGCACGCGCGCTACGACAGTCGTGTATTTTTTTAGCGTTCGACCGTCCGACACAATTGAGAGAGGGGGAGGGCGGTGGGAGGAGAAGGAGGCAGGGGAATCGAAAAATTCGCGCGTTGAATTCACCGACGAAAAAAGGACAGTTTCGAGCGCGGGGCAGCGCGGCGCGGCGCGAAAAGCCGCTAACGCTTCAATTTTCTTCTATGAACCCCACAGCGCGAGTGTGAAACGCGAGCGGCCGTTTGTACGGGCGTAATGTTCCGATAAAGCACTCACTGAGGCTCGTCGCGAAATCTGTAACATTTTCTCGTCGGACGCGCCATTTCGCGCCGCCGCCGCCGGGCGATCACATCGTCCGACTGTTTTTAAAGCGACTCCCTCCTTCCTTCTCCCCCCCTTTTCCTGCCGTGCGGCGTCCCGCTCGGGGCGAAATTGTGACGCACGAGTGGCTTGAAAGACCGCAGCGCCGAATTGTATCTCGGCGCGGGACTCGGGCGAAATTTGTATAATCGCCGCTTGCCAAATGCACCGCGAATTTCGCGCGCTCGATCGAAAGTATCGCGGCGGGGGACGCGAAGAGATGGATGGGCGAATTTAACGCTAACATAATCGCGCTTTAACGTCTTTATTTCGGTGCCTGTCCGCCGGTTAATTAAATGACGTGTAACGCGCACTTCTCCCGTGTGTCCGCCTGGGCCCGCGAAATGTTCCCGTTAATCGAGAGGCTTACGCCAATTACGCTAATGAGCGCGCCGTAGGTACAAGCGGTCAAGAGTATTAGTACTCTCGCGCCCGCTCGCCGGCCGGCCGGCGTTTCCGAATCAGATTTTATGCCTCTGTGCCGTTTGTTAAATCGGACGCGCGGCATGCGCATATTCTTTATCGCCCGCCGGGTTGCGGACAATTCGCGCACGTGCGCGCGCGACTGCGTGCTCAACAAGCGGCACAGTGGTAATCGCGATGAATAATAAACGTTATTATGACAATAATTATGATAACGTTATTTCACGGTAATACGCCGCTAACGCAATAGAGAATCGATGACAATAATACGCGATACGTAAGCTGGTGCGCGCGCGTCCGTCTCGTCACTAGTTAAAGACACTCACCACCTCTCGGCACATCCGTAGGCCCAGGGCGCTGTCTCAAGCCTGAAATGCAAACGAATAGTCCCGAGTTAGTATACACACGGCTGTGTGTCGAGGAGAGGAGATATTGCAAGTCGCAATTTGCATCTTCGGTAAACGGTGGAGAGGAGGGCGCAGACCGGCTTTAATAGCCCCAACGTGCAATATAATCAAGTTGCTGGTTGGATCACTTTCTAACACGCGTACATTTGTTGCCGGGCATACGATGCCTGGGAATATGATGAGAAAAATACTATATATCGGGGCACGAACGCGATTCAAACGTATACAGAGAGAATATTATAGAGAATATTATTGTAAACATTACTATATAATAAAGTTGGCTACTTTGTAGCCGAGAAATAGATCGACATTCTGCACTGACTCTCTATCCTCTCATTTCATATGAGTTACGTTATATTTTAGAAATGTTAAAACTGTTAAAGCTGTTAAAACACTTGCTATGTTTCCAGCAAAATCTGTTGTGTTTCTAGTCAATATGTTTTTTAACAAGATAGATCATATTGACAGTCTACTTGTAGACTATCAAAAAATACAGTAAAATTGAATAGAATTTATATGAAAAACAAAAAAGCTGTAATATTCTCTCCGTGTAGCGTGGATTAATTTGCACCCTTAGAATTTCAAGCTCGTGTCCGCGAGCACAGCCTCGTTTGCATTACAGAAAAGGAGATATTAATTGTAAAACAGTTTGGTGAAGTTTCGAATAGCAATTTGGTTACGGGCGAGGTAAAACATTTTGGTTTACCGGCGGCGTCTGGTATAAACCGCGGTTTCGTTCGCTCGTTGCACGTTCGCGCTATCAATACTGCGCTCAGATGAAAAAAAGGGAGAGAGAGAGAGAGAGAGAGAGAGAGAGAGAGAGAGAGAGAGAGAGAGAGAGAGAG